ATTAGTGCAGTTAGTTAGCCACTATACAGAATTAAGCAAAAAACTTATGAGTAATGAATCTTGGCAGTTATTTGATACGTATCATTGTTATCCAACAGTGCTGTACTGTGGAACAGTAGATTGACCGCGATTGCTGTATATTCAACCAGTGCAAATGCTTCATAACCTAAAATACTACTTTATAACATTGAAAAACTTCTCAGCTTTTTTTGCACTGAAATATTTATCACAGATGGTTAATTAGTAAACTTGAAAACAGTATCGAAAACTTACTGTACTTGTAGCAAGGTAAATGATGTATGAAAGATAGTGCAGCAAGTAGCAAAAGTAGGATGAAATAGCTTATGGTTAGGCAAATCTTGAATATGCAGCTTTTTTTCTCCTAAACGTAAATTTTATAACTTTCGTACTGTTATGCAAACTACTAGTCAATCTATAACATTATACAATACTACTATTGAAGCCAAGAATTAGTATTACTTATTTTTTTTAAATTTACATCTATATTGAAAGCACTTACCACTGCTGGACACCACAGAGAGGTCAATGAAACTGCTATGAAGTAAATACAGCTACTGACAGAAAACCCAACAAAAGCGTAAACGTGGGTCACTAAAATTTTCGTTTATTGTATTCAGTATTCAAGTCCTAAGTTTAGTGGAGACTTGACTTTCACTCAAATTTAGGAGGAAAAAAAGCGCTCAACATTAAAAAAATACTACATTTTTTTATTTTTAATTTCCCACTGCTTTTTTTGGCACTAATGTTATGAAATACTTTTGACAAGTTTTGCTTGCCTTTTCTACTTAAAATAACTGAATAATTATAGAATCTGGTAAATCACAAAAAAAATATATTGGCAAATGAAGAGAGATGTTATAATAGAGAGTCTTCTGTGAAAGTGAAACATTCAAGCTACAAAACGACAAAAAATTTTTAAGTCATACTTCCATCTTCTCGCTCGCCAGCAACAGTTAATCCGACCAAACTGATCAACTCAATAACACCCGATACTACAACAACTATGCGAGCACAACTGCATGTTTTGCGTCGCAACTCTGTAGTTTTTTTCATGTAACTATTTTTGCCTGCAGAAAAAAGTGAAGTTAGAGTTTAATGAGAAGTCAAAAAACTACCTCATCAATTTAAATTTGCCTAACTTTCACTGAACGTCAACGATAAACGTTTACCACCACTTATGCTAAAAATTTTAGTGAAATTTAGAGCGTTACATAGAAAATGTTGACAAATAAAATTGCTTAAGCGATAAGAATAACGAAACAAAAAACGTACAATTTACCCAAATAAAGAATGGTCTTAAACTGACATGAATGGGCATAAGGAAATTCCAGATTAACCTCTCCACCGGCAAATTAATTACTCGTGAAAATGATGGCAAATAACTTTTCTGAAAGAAGAGCAACAAAAATAGACAAAAAATTTTGGTTTTTCTTAACCGTAATCTTTTTTTTACAGCATATGAGAGAAAAAAATTACCCCACAGGACGTTTTGTAGCCGACATTGTGCGAATAGTCAAGAGTAAAGCCAAATCCGAAAGCTGCTACTATCGCAAACAAAGCCGTAATTACGGCAACGATGAACACAGATTTGAAGCTAAATTTGAACAATACAATATCAGCGTTATAGGTTTTTCGATCATCATCTACATTTCTAAAGTGGTGTTCTTTCATTCTTGTGATGTCACGTTTGTAGTCTTTACAGTTGCACCAAGATTCTCTATCTGTGCTCATAAATGCACAACAAACACAGCTATGCTCTTTAGAATCAAACGATGAATCACATGCAGATGATGGAGACATCGAATCAACGCTCATTTTTGTGGACAAAACTGGTGGACAGCTGACAACATCGATATCTTCAGTTGTGGCTGCTTTTGTAATTGTCATTTCTGAAGTAAATCAGCATTACAAAGACAGTTTAAGATTTATTACTGAATTTGTAAATTCGCATTGTGTCTTCATTTTTTGACAAATTTTCTGGGTTTTTCTGCTGATCTGGTTAACTGAATCAGACGTCAAGAACTAGACCATGCTAACGGTTAGCATTAGACTAAAATAATTACAGCTGCTTACAACTGGAAAATTTTTTGATGCTTAGCATTCTATTTTGCTTCTTCAAAAAATTTTTTTGAGCAACGATGCATGAAACTGAATCATTTAGACCATTCGTCAAAGAGTTCGGCAAATTCAGTGATTATCTTAGTGATTAGGTAAATGCATCTTCAAAAGATATCTTATTAAATAACCTGTTATTTACTTTTCTTTTTTTTTCAAAGAATAAATAAAAAATAAGAAAAATTTTTTAATATTGTTTAATCGTCAAAAGCAAAAAGAAAAAAACAAAAACAGATTATTCTATACTAGAAACTTTTAATAATTTTCTTTTAAATTTGATACAAAAACTGCCTACTACGTACTTTAACAGTTATATCAAATGTTTGTCAAACGTATAAACAGCATAATTTTAAAAAATAATTATGTAAGTCTTCAAAATTAGTATCTTACTGCTGGCTTATATCGTGTATCAGCTTCTCAGAAGAGGTCAGTATGCAGAATAATTACAAACTTCTATCTATTTATACACACCCGTCTTCAAACCCTTAACAGAAATTTTGACCTCGACTGGCGTATGTTTCTACCTTCCGGTTTGTTCTCTTAAATTTATCTTTTTTACAAAAACTTTTTATTTGCAATGAAAACTTAAAACAAAAAACTTTACGCGAAATGTGTATTTTAAGTTCTTGTTTTAGCTAAAGTTATCAAAACAGATTTTACATTTATCTTTAGTCGTTTGCAAACTTTTAGACCTAATGTCTAAAATTTTTTTATTTTGAGCATTCGACGCTATATATCTTCTCAGCCTATTTAAAATATTGCAAAAATAAAGACTGCAAGAAAGCGAAAAATAAACTACAGCTGCTTAAACAGTGTTGGAACTGTTTAAGAAATAAGGTTCATTTAAAAATATGACTAAAATACAATTTTGAGACTAAAATGTTAATTACTCGTTGCATACAAAATGAGCATAAATAATCGTTGAAATACACTATACACAAGTATCTGTATATAAATTTTCACTCTCTCATTGCTACGGCTAATTTATCCACATCTTTAAAATTGCTCATCAAATAGTTACCAAGACTTTTGCCTAAAAGCATTAATCTTTTTTTCTACTGAGGCAGAAGCACAGTTCCATATAAATTTTTGTATCTTTTGGTAGAGATATCAGCATAACTGAATAAAGAGAAACCGAACGATTGATCAACAAATTTTATTCGTAACACCAGTAAACTATTGAAAAAATGAAAACAATTTTCTTAAAATTCAGTACTTAGTACGTAACAGTCATCCCGTTCTTTAAAAACTTGTTTTAATTCTTTTCAAGCTAGCGATTTGTCTAAATGTTTTATAGAAAAAAATTGTTTAGACTAATGTCAACTTTTACTTTCTATTTTGCTTTACTAAACTACCTTCAGTTTTTTCAGTTGAAAAAAACTTAGGCATATTTGTAAAGTAACGTAAAATAGACCAATAAATAATTGGACTGTTTGAGCAAAGTTGCCGAAACTATTTTTTGATAAAATTTTAAAGTATTGTGTTAACGACTGTTTGAATTTCATTCAGAATTGCAAAAAACCTATCTGAAAATAATTTTAATAAAAAGAAAAACATTCAAGTTTTATAAAATTCAAGCAAACTTTACCTGATAAGTCAATAATCAAACAGATAGGCAACGAATTCTGTCGAAGGTCAAAAAGAAAGAAACCAAGAGATCAGCAATAAGAAATAAAGATGATTTCTGTTCAAAAACTTCTCGCAGTTCTTGCCACTACAGATCATCGAGAAGTTATTTAAATGAAGAATTGAATAATATAATTAATTTGTTATTTGCCTAAATTTTGGCTAGAGTAATGAGGTAAGTTAAAATATGATTTGGTGAACTCAAAGAAATAATCTAACCTACAATACAGCAAAGTAAAGCAGTATTTTTGATCTAATCCAACACTTCTGATAAACCAATTAATATTTAGTCAATAAAACAACTGAAATAAATTATGAAAAAACGAAAAGGAAACTAATGAAAGCGAAAAGAGCGGAAAGCAAGTGAAAAATAATAAAAAATTGTAATTGTCTTGCCTTGTTGGTTTTAGAACAGGAACCTACGTTCTGCCATGTGATTTATCATTAATTGTTAGCTGTTTGCACTCTGCCTGTCACAGTAGTCGGTAAGATTTGTTCACTTTCACTGCTGGAACTATTCTGCTCAACGATCTGTTACCGAAACAAGCCGCAGATGTTGCCTCCGTGTTGAACATATTTCTAGACTGTCACAAAATACATGATGATATCACCTGAAACAAGAAAGAAAAAAAAAATGAATCATTAAAGAAGCCATAAAGAAGCTACATGCTACAGAAATTTCTAGTTAATTCTGGTACAAATTTTAAAGCCAAAAATCTGTCTTCAACGTTTATCAACCTAAGGTATACCATCGATAAAAATTGTGACATTTCTAAGTGACTGCAGAAGAGTTTTAGTATGATTCCGATAAACCTTACAGGTTTTAATGTAGCAGAAATGAAGTATCAAAAAAACTGGTTACTTATTTAAAGCAGCAAAGCAATAGTGATAAATCGGAAAAAAAAAAAAACATGTATTTGGAACAATGAATGATTTAACAGAAAAAATTGCAAATCAGTGTCTGTTAAGATTACTGCAATGACAAATTTTTATCCTTCGTCTAAAAATTGGTTAAATTTTGCTTCTTTTATTATGCGAAAAAGCATTGAGCAAATTCTGAAAATTATCGCTTAATTTAGCTTTTTTCTGCTTCTTTTAGTCATTTTTTTTCTTCTTTTTTTGATTTTTTGTATAAAACAGGTTTGGATTTTTGCTGTTTAGCT